AATCTACAACGATGTCCTTGCTTGGCGGCGGAGCCGTAATTGAAACCCGAAACTCATTCATTATTCGACTTTCTTCTTTTTTTTTTTTTTTTCTTTCGTCGATCAGTGGATTTTTGGTCATTAAATCTCAACGAACGACAAACACAAAAAGAAGTCAGAATTGAAATTACACATTACTATACTATTACCACGAGAAACAACTTGCATCTTAATTATCGCGTCTTTTCTTAATCGTATGTCAAATTCGCTTCCTGATAGATATACCGTAATCAACAAGCAACATGACTTGAATTTCTATAAGGCCATGAGACACTGGAGTAAGAGTAAGTATTTAAAATTACAACTACCTTGCTTTCAAAGTAAAGTCAATAAGAGACCAAACTACTAGCGCTGAAATAGCTCTTCATTGCAATTATGCATTGTTTTTCAAAATTACGCTGCTTGAACACATACGAGACTTCAATTACGTTGGTGTGATAGCATTTGTCCGCACTGAAATGTATCGGTTTATTCTTTGTTTCACCTTTGAGCGTTCAGTAACGGCGTTCGACATTCGTCACATTAATGCCTCTATTTCACCTATTTTATTAATAGTATTATATTTGACCCGAGTTCTCAGTATGTTAGATACGAGTTATGCGTTTTATTATTTTGCAACATCACCAATATTCTTATATTGTTCCTATCCGGCTAGTCCAAATTAAAATATTCTATTAGCGTTAGTAGACCCTTCAAGACTCGAATGAAGATCTAGCCTTTAATCTTTTTAGAAAAAGCCGGTAGGAATCACGATCTTCTTTCAGTGTGAACGGAGACTAAACTTCTTTAAAGGATTCTTGTTATTTTTTTTTTTTCTGAGCGCTTGGATACACAACGTATGTCATAAAACAATGTCTAAAAAACTTGGCGCTATAGTTACGTCGCGAGAAGCATTTTTGGTTACGTCGCCAGACAGATTGTGTTACGTCGCGAGGCACATTTTGTGTTAAGTCGCGAGACATATTCTGTGCTACGTCGCAAGGCACATTTTGTGTTAGGAGTGGTTTTGATATTTTAGCACTTGGACCCGAAATAGAAGCGTGTTTCGGAATTGCTTTTCAACAAACTCAACTTTAAAAAAAAAAACGCATTTTTGTTGTAAATAAGCAAAAATTAGCGCAGTATTTAAGTTACGAGACTAATCTTGAGTGCCGACCAATTACGAAACGCGCTTCTATGCTGGTACGTCGTCTCAAAAAAGAAGCACGTCCTGACGCTCGAAATGAGTTTCACAACCTAAATAATGCGCTTGTTTTATATTTTCTTTTCGGGAAGGTGTTTTCTTTTTTATTACAAACTCGTACTATACAAGCACTTTAAAAAAATTCGGCAGATGCACCTAAGACTGTTTACGTGTAGGAATGCGAAAGCATTCCTACACGCAGAGCCTTCCTACAAGCATCGCACCACGTCTTCCTATCGCACATGGCGCTTTGGCGGTGACATCACTCTCCTCCACTGCGCAGGTGCGGCGAACCAAGCCGGCTTCACGACGGCTACTGTGACGAAGCATTGCGTTGCTGTGCTTTTCTTTGTGTTTATTGGAAATGAGAATTTAGGTGCCGTTTTTCTGCTACAGACGGTTACAGACAACGGTTACAGACAACGCCGGCTTCGCTCCATGAAACAGCTAAAGCTTTCGCATTAAAAAGTTTTGTTTTGTTAAATGAGTCAGTTTATTTTTTATTTTTTTTTTACATAAAGGCCTGCAACTCTGTTCACCATTATAGCAGGGGTGAGTACATAAAATACATGAAAATCTAACAAAAACATATAAACACAAACAAACTTGTATAAACGTTTGACACTTCTGTCGATACCCAACTCGTTCTCCTATAGGTTTTGGAAAGAAAGAATATGCAAAAACATCAGTAATGCAAAAGTAGGGTTGGAGTTTGTTCTGGTAATCCGCCATTCCCGATATAAATATATATATATATATATGCAGGCGCAGCGCACTACAGTCTTGTCGGCTTGCAACGTACTGCAACGCACTACTTGTTGCTCGCTTTTGCTGCTTACTGTTTGCATCAAAACCGGGTAAGCGTTTGTGTGCTGAAAACGTTCAGCGATTCTATATAGCGACGATTTAAATCCCCCCATCTCCTCACCTTGCCCCCCCCCCCCCCCCCCCACCAATCCCGCCATCCCTCTTCCCCTTCCACTTTAGGATAAAACGTTTTCACGCATTTATGCAGGATCTCTCGCTCCAAACACGTATACATTTCTCTGGACAGAGAAGTGTACAACAACGATCGTCGTAAATTCTCCATGAGTTTGTGACAGGTCGAGAAAGTGCCCGAGAAGCAGCCGTGGCGGGTTTACTCAAAATAAAAAATGGCACTCATTCACTGTCGTTCTAAGTTATTGTACTTCCTTTTTTTTTTTTTTGTAGCGGTTTTTTTTAATGTTTTCTATCGGGTATGTTGTGGAAGCTTGATCGTTGGGAAATATTTAGGCTGCCTGGCGACGAATGGCAAGATGTTCCGTTGGAGAGAAGTTTGGAGTTCCAAATTACACTTCCTCGCATCTTTTTTTCTCTCTTTTTTTTTTGTTACGTTTTACTACACGCATTTATTATTGTTGCCACACTTCATACCTTCGATTAAAAATGTATTCCAGCTAAGAATAAAAATCAGTCAAAAGAAATGTCTTGTTTTGAAGCAAAACACCAAAAGAATGTTAAAAGCAGATGGTGTGCCAAATAGGCATTTACAAGTGATTTTATTTATTTTTTTTATTTATAAAAGGGGGTATTTTTTTATAAAAGGGAAGAAATTATGCATAATCTGTGCATCATTTCGCGATTTCGAAAAATGTCTATATAAAAATGCGTGTATAATTATACGGGTCACCCATAGACACCGACAACTTAAGAAGGTGTAGCTTGCTATCTTAATGCTTCCTGCTTCGTGATTGGTTCTTCGGCGCATTCACCGGCTAATGTCGCAATCCCATTGCTTTAGGAGGAATAATTAGATGCTGGGGGCTCGCCACGCCCTGCACTTCTTAATCTGTCGGCGACATAGAGTGAATGCCGAGAACAAGTCGTCTGCTTCTTGCCGAGGAGTTTCGGTGACGTCAGAACGACGCCGAGCTCTGATTGGCTTTGATTGAAAGGATTGCTGATAGTAGACTTCAATGCTAGATGCCTTGACGTCTACCCACTATTTTTTTATCAATCAGCCAATAAGAGCTCGACGTTCTGACATCATCGCAGCCCCTCTGCAAGAAGCAGACCAACTTACGCTCCGCAGGTAATAATCTAGAGTGAAATGTCTCATGCCTTCGGGACGCTTCGGAAAGGCACGGCAGGGACGCGGGCATCGGGTATGCCAGAGATGGTGCCAATGGGCCCATATCGCTGGCGACGCCTTGATACTCGTATACACCAAGGAAGTTGCAAAACATCACCTGTAAAACCTGTACTCAAGTTTTTATCTAGCTTCCTTTGCGGGTAAACACCGGAATCGCGCATTCTATAGAATATACATAAAGTTAACGAGCGCTTAACATCTTCAACTCGTCGCGACCAAACGAACGCAGCTAAATTTTTGTCTGCTTTCTCTTTCTTGTTCTTTCTCTCGGGACCAGCGATGTGAGCGCTCAGGATTGGCCGCGTTCTGCCGCCGCCTTTCGCCCCTCATCGGTGACTATATACGCAGTTTAAGGGTTCTAGATTGTCAGCTAGATATATAACGAGGCTTGTTTCTCGTTGATTGTCGTTTAATAGTTTTATTAGATGCCATGATACCTGAACACAAAAGATCCAATCTAACAAGTTTTATTGTCAGAAACATTCGTCACAGTCCTGGATTTAATTGGATGGAATTATAGCTGCTAAAACTCTTTTGTAGCTGAAGATCAGTTTAAAAAAACTGCATCCAGCTACAATTTAAAAATATATATATATATATACATAGAAATTTCTGTTGTCATTACACTGATTCTGGACAAAATGCGTTAGCATTTGATGCCGGGGGTCCGACTCAGCGAAGGATGGGAAATTGAACTTCGCAACGTTCCGCATACTGCTGTATTTGGAGAGCTAGACTGTTCCTCCGGGCGTCGACTCTTTCAAATGCAGCCACTATAGCTTCCCTCTATCGCCACCTATAGGGTCCGCATACTGTTGTCTTCAAAATGCCAATCTTTCCCCTCCCGGGTGTCGGCGGTTTCGCGCAAACGGTGTCGTCGCTGCTCTTCGGTTTTACGTTGCCCCGTACGTTACGCCACCGCCATGGCTGCTCGATTTCCTCCTCTCCCACTCCCGCTTTGCGTTTTTTGAAGCGTGCCAGGAAGCTCTTTTCCTGTACGAGGGAAAGTTGGCGTACGGGAGTGAACGAATGGAAGCGAAAGAGCACAACAAGAAACGCGCATCGGACTCACGAAGCCAGTCCAGTCCAAACGAAAACGGCTGCATGCCCCAGCGCAATAAATGTTCATTCAATTAAAAACGAAACAATCAAAGAATAATAAAAGCCTCTTCCGTGGCACACCTACATCTTTACAGTTTTTCCCACCAGTCCACTATATAGTCGGTGGCAGGTTGAACGTTCAGGGGAAGCTCCTCCAACACCATCTAGAAGACAAGGCCGTAGTATTGACATTTTTGCGTCGCTAGCTGGACACAGATTGGAAACGAATGCTGCGTCAGCGCTTGTCTTCGAGTCAAGTTTGAATCGAACGTTGACACAATCGTCGTGTCAGCGTTGGCCATCGCTGATGACGACATCGCTATCATCACCACCTCCTTCCCCCTTAGCAGAGCGAACGCTGAAGACGAGGCGACCTCCTCTCCAGCGTTCGCTCTGCTAAAGTGCAAAGAGGTGGAAGGAGTTTCCCCTGAACTCTTAATCTTTTGCCGAGTATTGCCTACTTTTTTTAAAATTTTTACTGGCTTGAGAACACAGGAAACATCCGCAAAATTTTCGCTCTCTTTTTCTCTTTTCGTGTCGCAGAAATCCAGCGGATGCAGAGCCAGGCCGGAACAGGAAATGGAGCCCGACCTGTCGGGTGCCCCCTTATGGACATCCACAAGGGGCGCTCGATCAGGGTACAAGTCCGAGTGCAAGTGCCCGTCAAAGACCATCCGAACGTGAGTGGTGCGCCTTGTCGGAAAGACACGCGAACGCTGCGTGAACAATCCCATTGGTTCGAATGCGAGATCAGAAGTTGTTCGTACCTCGCTTTCGTGGCTACCGCAGGCGACCGAGCATTACCATATATTTTCACAGCACTCAACACTCTCACCAGAGGAAAGCAACTCGAATTAGATGGGAGCGTTTAGACAGCATGAGGTTAACCTGTCATTATTTTCATCGCATTCAACTGCATCACACCTGACTAATCGCAGCATGTTTAAAAAGCAATAATCTTCTGCGATTCGCATATTTTGAATGTACATCGGCAACTGTATAGGTACAGGAATAGTCCAGAATGTCAAGGCACAAGAAGATTCCTTTTTGTATTGGAAACCCAAATACAGCAAAAAAAAAAAAAAGCACGGCTCTTTTCGCTCCATCTGTGGCTTATATCATTCTATTTGTGGTTTCAACCATTAAAAAAAAGTCGTCCTGCGTCATGACATCTTGGACGAATTCAATATCAAGACGGCGTTGCATTCAAGATATTCAAGAAATATCTCTATTGGCACTACGGCTCAGTTATCTAGGAGGTGTTAGCTCCTCCCACCTCTTTACACCTTAACAGATCGAACTCTGAAGAGAAGGCTCAAGAGGAGGCACGGTACGTGATTGTATTATGCTGGTGGTCCTTCCTTCTTGCTCTAGCTGATCATAAAAATTAAAATGGTGCGAAATGTATGCTCCAAAAGATGCAGACCTCCTTCGATATTCAATCTGGCACTATCGTCATCTCAGTGCATGGTATCTGTGCAAACAAACGGCGGCTTTTTCCGGACTGGGGGGAGATCGGTGGCCAAATGGGCTAGCGCTCACCAGCTCGAAGCACGTGGAGCGAAAGCTCGTACTCCAGAACCCAGGATCCTGGGCTCAATCCCCACCCCTGCCCGTTTCGATTTGGAGGAGCATCGTACCGGCGTGCGGTCGTGTGTCACTACTGCGTGGTGCACGTTAAAGACCCCAGGCTAGCGGTTGTACTGCACTGGCTAAATAACTCATCTGCAGTTCAGACACCCGACGCCCATTAAGGCAGACTAACTTCCGGCTGTATAAACATACGCACACCAATTTTTCAGGCTGTTGAGAGGAGAAGAAGTTGAACATACTGCCAAGCTGAGGCACGGCCGGACTGGATGTGCGCTATCCAGTCCGGTCTTGGCTGAGGATTTATATGTGGCTCGTACTTTGAAGACAACACGGCGCACGAATTAGATACAACGGTTGAGGCAATGTTTATTTCGGAGTGTGGTTCATTGAATGGAGCAGAAACCAAGAAAAACAAATTTACATTTAAAGCAATAGAATTTTTAGGAAATAAATAATCCTAAATACAAAAGTAAATGCCCGTACTAAATTCCGAGCCCTTTCCTGAAACTATAATTTCGATGCTCCCCAGTTTTTCTTTCAAATTGGCTTTTACAAAAATTTTATTTGGTCATTTCCCTATTCTTTTATTTTGATTAATTTAAACTTGTTACGACATTTGGCGGTGCAAGTTGAGAGTGATAGGTTTATTTCTTTTCTTTCAGCTCTCAATTAAACATTCTGTAAACATTCTGTGGTTCATTGAATCTCTTGGCACAAATTTGGCTCCAAAGCCTTTTGATAGTAACAATTTAATCGAGGAATTTATGGGTCGCCGCATTGTACTGGTCAGTTCTTATGTACGCACTATCAAAACTGAAACAAGTCACGAGCAAATTTTGAGGGAATCGAAGACCCAATTCTCCTCTGCCGTTGACGTGCCCACTTGACGGTGCCGGTGGAATACAGTGTCATGATCGCCATTGTTTTGTTGAGAGCGAAACCGGTTTTTGAGCCATCAGATGGTACTAAATTTTGAAAAGTGTATAAGACCCTTTTTCATGTGACGGTTTTTATTTTTAAATATGACGTAGTTGGGTTCGTCGACAAAATTGTAAAGTATATAGTTTAAGCAAAACTACAATAAAACATTATAGCCAAGAAAAAGGTAGAACTGTGGGCACGAGCTCCTTAAATTCAAGCGCCTTCCAATTGTCAAATAAAATTATTTTCTACTTTGCCCCAACTCAGTTACGTCAGAATCCAACATAGCGATTGTCACAAAAAACTATCTATTAGCGTTGATGCGACATCAATGCAAGCCATGTATTTTCATAGTATAAGTGTACATTTAAGTTTCATGGTTTCTCGCTGAAACCAACATCTCCTGTGCTTTCTTGTTGCTGGTCCTTCTTTTTTTTTGCAAGTTCGGTTTTTTTATGTTTAGAAATGACCAGATCTCCAAAAACACATGAAGGTCTCTGTCGTAGTGATCGTTAAAAGATAAACATCGTAAACCTGCCTCCATGCCTTTATGCTTCCAACCTTTTTCGAGAATGCTTATGTTCATCCGTCTTGTCGCTTCTTCTTTCCAGTTCAATTTTGTCGGCAAACTGCTCGGTCCCAAGGGCAACTCGTTGAAGCGTCTGCAAGAGGAGACCCAGACCAAGATGGCCATCCTGGGTCGAGGGTCCATGAGGGACAAAGCCAAGGTATCTTCCTGAGTACTGTTTGTCGCACATGGGGATCGATCTTACGCACATTAAGGACGAAACCCTGCACCTACTTTTAATAAAACACGCAAAAGGTCTGACGATTGAAGCAAGTAGGAGAGGGCCAGGCGAAGTCAAAATACACTGTCGGCTCAACAGTGCTAACTTATTTGATGGATCATATAAAACTCGTGTAGAACTGCGTTGAGGCACCCAGAAAACATTTCGTTCGGCTCTGCATCTTGACGACTCGCTTCAACAGGGAAATGTACAGAATACGATAACCCAGAATAAGTGCAATTCAATCAGTATAATTTAAGAGCTGTTGTCAACACAGCCGTGTCTAAACGAAAACCGATTTCACTTCCATGTACAAAAAATGTAGGCGGTAAAAACAAATGATAGCTGTTGGAGGGTGCAGGACATAACTTACGCCGATCATACCAGCGCCAGCTCTCCGATTTTTGCGTGCCGCCTCGGTGGCTCCGAGACGAGAGCGCCGGCCTACGGATCCCCAGGTGGCGGGTTCGAACCCAACCGAGGTGCCCGCAATATGACGGAGGCTTATTGCGGAGGAGGCGCCGTGTAACCGAGCTTTCGGTTGCACGTCAAAAGATCCCCAGGTGGTCCAAATTAATCCTCAGTCCTCCGCTGGGGCGTGCCAGATGCCCGTCGTAGGTTTGGCACGTAAAACCCCCAAATCTGACTTTCGATTTTTGCGTAGTATTTGTGACTGGCAACAGAAAGAATAAAACAAACTCCGGACAAGGAACAACGAACATTCAGCCTTGATGTTATTCCTTACGGACTCGGCCAGCAGCACCTAGATAAGCAGAAGGCCTCCGCACCGTCATCACAGCCAGATTCGATGAAGGCCTGAGATTGGGCGCAAGCGCTGCCTTACCGCTCATTCACACTGGAAGCGGATCCGCGTTTGCAAAGCGGTTGCGAACGCGGTTGTATAAAGGTCCAGTACAATCGCCCGCGCACTTGATGTCATCGAGTGCGCGTGCAATCGCACTGGATCTTTATACAACCGCGTTCGCAACCGCTTTGCGAACGCGGATCCGCTTCCAGTGTGAATGAGCGGTTAGTGTTCGGCCGGGGCTAGGGTCCAATCAGCGCGTCGAAGGTCGGACTCTGGCCCGTTAGCCGAGTTAGCGCAATCCGACTGTGATAACGTTTCATTAAGGGAGAGGAGGTGATGCGAAGGCTTCGATTATTAAGGCGAAAGCCTGATATGTCTCATCGTTCAGTCGACCATCAAAGTCCTTGAGCGAAAACACGTCGGCGACAGTAAAAATACATAGTTGCGAGTCAGCGCTCTGTCCTGTCCGGTTGGCCGCTTCTTTTTGTACCTTGTTGCGCTGTTTTAGCAAATTATGCTTAGCAGCTACCAACTAGCCCAGCTTGCAACCTTATTACCAAAACGTTTACGTGACCACTCAGACGGCCACTCAATCGTATGCTCAAGGACCACGCCGTTCTTAACGTCTTCCTTGAGGTCGTCCTAGAGGTCGCCGTGGATGCCGTCCTTTAGGCGTCGTCCTAGAAGTCGTCTTGGACGTCGTCCCCTAGGCGTCTCTCGTGACGTCGTCGTTGAGGTCGTCCGGAAGGTCGTCCTCGGCGTCGTTTTAGACGCCGTCGTTGACGTCGTCCTCGACGTCGTCCTAGAGGTCGTCCGAGACGCCGCACTTGGCGTTTATCTCTAGAACGTCGTCCTCGACGTAGTCCTATACGTTGTCCTAAACTTCAATACGTGTAGAAATATTACACGAAAGCATTTCCCCCGCTGGACTAAACTGATTTCGCCTTCCTACACGTAAACAGTTTATACCCCTGTCAGACGGCGTTCTAAAAGTCCCTTTCACTAAGCTCCTTTATAAAATCGGCGAATCTGCTAGCGATGTTGAGCACGCACGTGCCCTTGGGCTTGCGCTGGTTCGCCGATTTTATAAAGAAGCTTATACCCTTGTTACACGGGCACACTTAACTGCAGTTACGCTAAACCACAATTAGCGCACAATACTTGCCGACAACATTCCGCGGCGATGCAGACAGAACGATGGGCGAACGTGCGCTTGAGCATCTTGAGCACCCATCAAAGCAGTGCACGCGCTCTCTTCACTTCTTTTGAAATAGCTGTCCGAGGGTATAGTGCGGCATCGGTGCTGTCACGTAACCGCAGTTAAAGCTGAGTTAACCGCGGTTAAGTGTGCCCGTGTAACAGGGGTATTAGTGAAAGGCACTTTTAGAACGCCGTCTGACAGGGGTATTAAGTGTCCTCCTGTAATTTTTCTAGGTGGTAGCACCGTTGAAAGTCGGGCGAGTTGGTTATGCATAGTTATGAAGAAAAAAATAGCGCCAAAAGTACGGAGGACAAAGAACGAGGAACACACAGACCGAGCACTGACTGACAACTGGTTTATTTCGGGAAAACCACCTACTTGCGTAAAAACCGAAGACAAACATACATCAGACCATCACCTAAGGGCACTTGTCACAGCTCTCCGAGAACGTGTTTTCTTTATCGAAGAGCGCAATCGAGGGAGCACTGGCGCACTCAACTTTATAGTTTATACTTAAACAAATGAACGCCGTTTACAACTCCCTACGCCGAATTACAGCGCAGCTCTAGAGGGGGAGGATGGAAGGGTATACTGAGGGATAGGTGACCGCTGAGGTCATGTGACCTCGGGGGGGGGGGGGGGGGGGGGGTGGGGGGGGAGGGTTTTCTTTGACGGATATTGGTGTTGACGAGTGCATACGCCCGAGTGACGTAGTACTCGTGTCCATTGCGTGAACTGTGGTCGGCTGACGTCAGTTTTGGCACCACTGACGTGCTTTGGGTACCGCGAATGTAGCATATTGAAAAGGCGGAAAGCTTCCGAAGCAAAGGAGGTACGAAATATTCCACTATATTTTCAGATATTCGTAACTAAAAGCTGGCTTTTGGCTTTCTACCCTCTTTCTTTTGACCCACTAAACGATATGCGATTAGTAAAGTCCCAATCTAAAATCAATTATCCCAGCCCAAAATTTGTTTCATGGCTCCTTTAATACTTTTTTCCTTCAGTTGTGAAAATACCGTCCTCCTTTTAGTCCCCTCCCTCCCCCCCCCCCCCCCCCCCCCCCCCCCGCTAAGTCAGGGTGTCCCGCATTTCACCAGCAGGAAGGTGGTCACCCTGGTTCAGACGCAGACGACACTACGGCTGTGTTCCAAATCTTACCCAAATGGATCCGAGTTACTCCGGCGGATCGTATCACGTGACAGCACAGATCGAAAAACGCTGGACGCGGGTAGGTTTTAGAACGCCAAGGGTACAAAACCCTTACCCTGGAGTAAGATCGAGTAAATTTTGAAACACGGCCTACGAGGTAATGGGACCAATCAAGCAGAGACAAAAACGCAAGTCACTGGGACCTCAAAACTCCTCAGCGATTAAAACTTTCGGCAGTAACAACTGAACAAAAAAATTTAGAGCACTTCCACCCTGTGAAGAGGGAAGTCCAGCGAAGCTGGCGCTCTGGTGGGATTTGTTTAGCTATATTTGGGATTTGCTATGTTAAATTTGGCTATTATGGTGGGTAGACACAATGACAATTTATTATAGCGCGGCTACGCCTATCACGGCGCAGGCTTTAGTGCACCCCACAGGTGGCCGCCGAAGAGTGCGTGGTATTGCGCGATGTCAGGGGGGAGAGACGTTTTATTCTAGCGCGGCTACTCGAATCAAGGCGCAGGCTCTCGTGCGGCGCTTGGCGAGGAGTTTACACTATACACGGCTCGGGAAAGAGGCGGCGGCGGTGGAGAGGAGTATAAAGTGGGGCATACATTGAAAATTGTTGGTCTACGCTCGATCTGTCGCCGGACACGATCCGCCTGAACCTACCCATTAAAAACTTCGCTGTACAAAAAAAAAAAAAAAAATCTCGAGTAGTGTGCATTCGCGTGGCGCTATAGTGGGCGATATGCTTCTACCGCTAATCAGCACGACTTCTTGCGCCCTCGCATCGAAAAATGATTGCGAGTGTCTTCAGAATTGAAAGAGACGGCGGCCTAGTCCTTTGCCCACCTTGGGAGATTGGAAGTCCGAAAATCACGCCGTTGCTGCTTCGCAATCACTGGCAGAGGATCCCTGCCCTCAAAATGCTGAGAAACCGAAACTCGAGAAACTTGACGCTACCAAAATGGCCGCGCGCACAGTGTTACCAGACCACCGAGCAGTTTCGCATACGTCTATTTAGGAGATGCTACGCTTTCAGCGCGACCTTTCTTCTTTTGATGACACTTCGTCGTACGCGCAGCCAAAGCCTGTATTCGTAGCCTGTCACCGACTATTGGCGATGTGCACGACCGAAAGCGTCGCAGTGATCGGATTTCCACGATTGACCAGACGCTCGCTGTGGTGTCGTGAGTAGTTTTCAGTCCATTCTTATCGACGGAAATAAGAGAAAAGTCCAATTCTCAACTTTGACTGTGTCGCGCACCACGAGCTCTCCACTGATCATCTTGGTCGTGACGTCGGGGATAAGAGCCCCTAAAAGTCGCCACCGAAACAACTCGTCACCAATTGAAGGTGATGGCCCTCGGTGACTTTTTTTTGAGAGTAACCAAGAAATAATATCTCCGTTTCTTTCTTTTTTTTATAGTAATTTGTGGAGCGCGTACGTTCAGTCGGCGCCCCAAAGTCCGAAACGCTCTTAGTGCGCAACGCGAGCTACCGAATATATACATTTCCGATCGAGTGCCGATGAAACTCTTTGTCGTACTCCGCGCAGGAGGAAGAACTCCGCAAGCAGAAAGAGCCCAAGTACTGGCACCTGCACGAGGAACTGCACGTCGAAGTGAGCGCCTTCGCTCCTCCCGCCGAGGCCTACGGACGCATGGCCCACGCACTCTCCCAACTCAAGCCCTTTCTGGTGCCCGTGAGTGCCCCCTTCTTGATGTTTCACCGACTGACAGTATATACACTGCCTGGAACGCATCTCAGACTGGCGTGAGTTTAGCGTCCTATTCCGCCCCTGCATCGAAAAGTTGTCCCCGAAGGGACAACAAATGACCTCACAAAAGCCGGAGTGTCACGCCGTCGGATGGCACGATCCTGGTGGTTGATGGTACAAGTTCCGGCAAGAAGCATGAGCAAACGGGAGTGTCGCCGTCGTCATGGGCGTCCCAACTCCTGGCTGCCGAAGCTTCCGTGATCTGTCAAGCTGGAAAGCGATCTTGCAGCAGAGCAGGCGCGTGCCACGTCCACCGTCACTACTCTGCCACCGCCAGGATCGCAGCGGGCGGCAGCGTGACACTTTTTGTGGGCCGTCGGGCAGAAATCAAATCGAGAGACCACTTTTCTTGGACGCGGTTTATAAACGGCTCAGTCGGACACTTGTTCCGGGCACCGTATACTGACAGTGCGAGCTTGAGCAACGTTGTAACCAGGTCAAATGTTTACGAACGCCCTGTTCTAAACGCCACATCATCCCTATGCGGGGCGCAAGTTCGTCGTCTGCTTTTGCACGGGTTGTTGTGACGTCAGAACGCCGAGCACTGATTGGCTGAGGTTGACGGATAGTGGGTAGACCTCAAGACAGCTAGCATTAAGGTCTACCGACTTTCCTTTAATCAGAACCAATCAGAGCTCGGCGTCTCTCTGACGTCACCACAACCCCTGTAAAAGAAACGGACGACATGCTCTCCGCATAGAGTTACTGGATAAGGTCCGTTGAGAGTACCGACACTCGAATCCCCGATTTTCTTGTGCGCGCCGCGATTCTGGTGCTTAACGCATAGCCGGTGAAATCGGCGATCATTGCGATTCGAAAGTGCGACACTAGGGAGTTTTGGGGAGCCGTTTTTACACATCCGCTACGAAACCATGGGCCCTCAAGTACGGGCTGCGCATGTGCTACCGCAGAAGACTCGCGCATGCGCAGTTCGTACCGGAGGGCCCATATCGTACCGTACCGGATGTGCAAAAAATGGTTCCCAAAAACTCTCTGCTCTGAGCTTTGGATGCGGTACCAAGAAGCTCAGGCGATATTTGTTTGCTCTGCCGCGGGCTGTTCAAACGTTTTTGGAGATCGGACAACCATTGTTGTTGTTGTTGTTGTTGTTGTTTTGGGAGGGACGCAGTAAAATTATTTTTGTGCTATATTCGTTTGTAAAGTGCACTACTTGTTTTTTTTTTTATTATTGTGTCCAGAAATGCTCTAATTGAAGTCATACCTTTAAATTCAAATAAAGAAACGGTCGATTTTTCGAAAGTAATTAAGAGCCCGATTACACCGAGTGTTATTATTTTCCTAAATTGTTTTTTTTTGGCAACAACAAATAGGGCATCAACCTTGTATATGTGTGTGTGTGTGTGTGTGCGTGCGTGCGTGCGTGCGATGCATACGTTTTGCAGGAGCGATTTCTCTTTTGTGTGTGTTTGTGTGTGTGCGTGTGGGTTCTGTTTTTTTAACATAATGTGTCTTTAATACATTACTTGCCGATGCGAATGCCTAAAACCGAATCACGGCGCCCCTACCCAGCGTTTGTTAGGCATACAAAAATATATATAAGCATAATTTTTGTTTGATAAAAGTGTGCGTAGATAACCACCGCACCTTTACTGCACTGTTCCTTGCCAAGCTACTGAGCGCTGTGATTCACCGGCCGCTTTCATTAGTGGTCGTCTGAGTGACGTAGAGAAGTAGACGCTAAATTTCTGACAGATGTACGCTAAGGATATGGGCCCGACGGAAGTTTCATTTTCGCCATATTCCCATACCCTGTATGACAGGGAAAGATGCACTATATATATATATATTTATTTATTTATTTATTTATTCGCATCTATATCCGAAAATGCACTTATATTGTGTGTCCACTCTCGGACGATGTTTGCGGAGATCTCCTGCGGCCGAAATCGATATGATGTGATATTACATCCGGGCTGTTTTATCTTGCACTGGGGATGGTATCGAGAGACGCAAAAAAGACGCAAATAGCTAATACTGTATCCGCAAAAAGCTCGACAGATCAAGGTTACTCTTTTTATTTTCCTGAACGTGCTCATTTATTCTTCTTTTTAGACTGGAAGATGCTTTCATTCGAAACATTTGTCGACGTGTCTCGGAACCTGGGGGAAAATGGAATGTAATCACGTCGTGGCTGACATTCATTTTGTTCACGTGCAAAATGAAGCGTCGTTGTTGATCAACGATGTAATATTACATAAGAAAGACACTATTTTTGTTTCGACCTTGCAGCACTCCTGACATATTACATTGTAATAGTTTAATGCCACCATTTAGTTTTACTTTTTATGCCTTAGAAGCTAAAATTAGCTCTAAAGAACTAAATGTAGATAGAACAGGTATCTCACAAAATGAACTTTTCATGATTACAAAAAGTTACTCAAGACACATGCGTCGCGAGACTGATTTTAGTGTGAGTACGCGTTTCTATTTGGTGCTTCTATTTCGGGACGACGGGCAGAAATAAAAGAACATGTAACGAAATACGTCACTCGTTACTTGCAAACAAAAGAGACGCGCTGCCGACCTGCGTTACATAAGAATAAAAGGTACGCATTACCGATCAAAAGTAACACACGTTACCTTCAAAGTGGTAGCTTTAAAGGGCCAACCAACCTCAGGAGCCCCGTAAGCACGAAATGTTTAGGTTGATGAGCCCGTAACGACTAAACTATCTTGAAAAAAAAAACACGTCAACAGGTGTTTGGGATTGAGCCCTAGTCACCGGCGTGAAAGCCGAGGGCGCTGCTGACCGAGCTGCACACCCAGCATGCAGGAACGGGAGGAGCAGAAGCAGGTGGTGTGACAAAGTGCACGGAGCGGAGAGGGTTGGAAAGGCCAAGAAGTGGGGGAGCAGAGAAAGGTGGTGCAGGAAGAGCGCGCAGAACGGGGAGGGAAATATCAGGAAAGCGTGATTCCCATCTCTTAATGGCACTGGGAAACTAAGAGTCATCCTTCTCTAGGCACCACTCGAACGAAGAGCACTACCCACCCTATGAAGCTATCGCATTGAAAGGGGTCGTGTAACGATATTGGGTAGAAACGTTTCTCGCTTTACACCAGCTTAATGGCACTGGTGGGACCTAAGAATAACCGAACGCAACGCCGCTAACCAAGAAACGTCTTCGTCGCGGAGGATTAAATAGATTACGAATTAACGCAAACAAAACGAAATGCATGCTATTCCGATCTAAAAACAATGCGATTGAATCTAACCTTAATATCATTTTAAGTTGGGTTGGAATTGAGGTAGTGAAGTCCTTTAAGTTATTGGGCATTATTTTTAAAGAAAACATATGGAATAAGCAGATCGACTATATTCATAAAAGGGCGAGATAGGCAGTATAGTACATTGTCCAAATACCGCAAAATTTTCACCACGTCAGTTACGATAATAATTTAAATGGCCTTGTGCAGTCATACTTTTTGTATAGTCACCTCGTATAGGGTACCACTAGCCTGCAAAATATAAACAAAATTCTGACTCTGCATAGAAAAAAAAAAAAGCAGTAAGACTATGTATCATTTTTTTATCATTTTACTCATTCTAAATCGAATAAAAAGAAGCTCTTTTTACTCAATTTAAGGTTGTTAGAGCTCCGAATCTGCATTATTACCGGCTCCTATTATCGTATAAAGCAGAACTAAAAAATGCTGTCTTTTATAAATATCAAATTTAACTAAACATTCTATCGCCTATCACACACGACTATGTGAAGAGTGGCATGTACCTACCCCCCCCCCCCCCCCCCGCACAAACCATGGTATCGCATCCATCAGATTCATTCTACCATCTTTTTAATAAAGATCTTGACACGTTGAGTCTTATAGAAACTTCAGCCATAATTGTCCATTTGATGACGTCTTGTTGGCCTTATAAAATGTTTGGTTTTTATATAGAAACGTCAACTAATGCAAAGCAAAAGACACCTCTATACATGAAATGAAGTAGGGAAGTTATTATTTTACTGTGCTAGATAAGTGCTGTACGCGAACCGCCATCTTGGAGCTGGGGCCTTGTAAAGCTGCATTTATTGCAGCTTTTTGCCACAGCTAACATCTTTCTCTCCAAAATAAAATTGATGGATTGATTGATTGGTTGATTGATTGATTGAATTCCATCGCTGGGATGAAGGGAATAGCCGACTCAGGGCGCGACCTTTGCTCTGCCAACCCCAGTACGTGGCAGCTTGTTCTGGCTGCGAATTGAACGTGCGTGGGCGATGCTCCTTTTTTTATTTATTTTTTTTTGCGACTTATTTTGCATGGGGTGAAAAACGAACTCGTGTTTTATAAGTCATAAACGTTGGAAATTCGTTCTAAGCGGTATTTTCTCAAAGTGCGAAAATAGTTGCAACGCCCCTTTGACGAGGCCCTGCAATCATATTTAAGCGTCTACCTTCTTTGCGGTTTCCACGTCTCTTGGGGTTCGGGCAAGCTAGCGGGCACGGAGATAGTAACTAAATATCAGTGCGTCATATTTTAACCGGACGACGCGGAAACCTCCTCCACCTACGGGGGCGACCTGTGGTGCCGAAAGCGCACGATATGTGCGCTTTTGGGCTTACTACTGGTTAGAGCCGCTGAAAGTTTCTTTTTAGTCGAAATACAAAATATAAGTGGCGCGAACCGTTTCAATTATTTATAAAAGTATATTTCGGTCAGCATTTTAGATCAGAAAAGAAACAAATGCAGTTAAGAAAGTACAAGAACGAGAAATGACCCGTCAACATACCCGCCACCAAGTGGTGGAAAAGGCGGCGCATACTAGAAAGGTGTAGTGAGATCGGGCACCGACGAGCGGCGAGCGTAGAACGGTCCCGGATGTACGCGGCGGCGCTGCGGTCGTGTGGACTGGAGGATCCGACCAGTTCCGAGCGTTCCGAAGGCCTTCCGCGAGCAGCTTT